ATCAAGGAAGGGCAAAACAGCCGCCCAGGCAGGAACCTGAAGGCAGGAACTGAAGCAAATACCACAGAGGAATGCTGCTTTCTGGCTTGCTCTCCATGGCTTGCTCAGCTTGCTTTCTTACAACCCAGGCCCATCTGTCCAGGATGACAGCTCCCACAGTGGTTTAGGTCCTCCCACAGCCATCATTAACCAAGAAAATGTCCCACAGATTTGTCCATAGGTTCCTCAACTAGGCTCCTTATTCCCAGGTAGCTAGTTGTGTGACAAAACATAACCCCACAACCATCAAGATAAATGTTATTTTTGGTGTGTGATAGAGGTGTGCTTTTTAAAAGGTTTTTCTAATAAAGTTTGTGTTTTAAAGAATAAATGATAACTTTGATCAGTATTTTTAAAACTCAAGAGTAAGGCAAAAACATTTATTATGAACAAAATATGAGCATTTTAAGACAAGATAATGATGCTGTACCAAGCCACATTGGCACCTGACATGAGAGATGTACCCTTTATATACATTTTTAATGTGGATTTTTTAATGCTTAATTTTTTAAGAACATTAACATTATTGAAAACAATGGAAAAGTTGAAGTGTCTGGAAACCACGTTACTTTAAATATTTTATTTATACCCAAAATAGATTATTATCACTTTAATTTTGTTGGCTTTAGTGGACACACACTCATCAATAATATTCTCTAAATCAACTTCTGTCCCTCCCTTACCTCAGAGAACTGCTGTGTTTACAATTTCTCTTGATGTAAGTGTCAGCCTGAAATAATTCAAAGATTGACTTCTTTATTTAAAGTTCAGCATTCTGACCTTTTGGATCTTTGTGTTAATCTTAGTTTCTTTTAATTTTTTATTACAACGTTTCTTACTTCATCACTAATTCTGAGATCTCCTTAAACTGTGTTTCCTAATATCAGCCCTGCTGCCTGCCTGCACCTATCTGTTTGGTAAGACCTCTCCTGTCTTCTCCCCTCTCTTTCTGTTTCACCTTAGAATCATGAGAAATTGCATAGCAAACTGATGAGGAAGAGTGAGGAGTAGTGATAAGACTGCTAGTTTGACAAAATCTTAAAGAATCCAGTCTTAGAATAACTCTCCAAGGATATAGAACTGTCTTAGTTATTGCTGTGAAGAGACACCATGACTATGGCTACTCTCACAAGGAAACCATTTCATTGAGGCGGCTCACTTCCAGTTTCAGAGGTTCAGTCCATTATCGTTATGGCAGGGAGCAAGGCAGCATGCAGGTAGATGTGGTGCTGGAGAGTCCAACATCTGGCAGGCAACAGGAAGTCGGCTGAGAAGGGTGGTATCCTGAGCATAGGAAACCTCAAGGCCCACCCCCACAGTGACACACTTCCTCCCACAAGGTCATAGTCACTCTAACAAAGCCGTACCTCCTAATAGTGGCACTCATTATGAGACTATGGGGGTCAATTACATTCAAACTACCACAAAAAAACAATATAGTATATAAACATGTATTACACAGAATTGTTTTATGCATATAAATATATTAAATTATACTGCATTGTTTTATGCATACAAATATACATATTATACATACATTGTACATTTTATATTACATATGCATGATTTCTATACAATTGAATATATATACTGCTTGGATTCTATAATCACATAAGCTAATCACACAAAATCTTATCAATGATTGGCCCAGACAGCTTCAGAAGCTGAGGAGTGCCCCAATCTACAGTCTACAAGCTGGAGCCCCAGGAAAAGCTAGAGGTGTGTCTCTAGCCCAAGCCAGGAGGCCAGTGAACTAGCAGAGCTGTATTGGAAGGCTCTAGGACCAGGAGAGGAGGAAAGTCCACCCTGAACAAGAAAGGCACAATCTGTCCTATCTGGGTACCCAACAGACTGCAAGATAGATGTCCACATCTCTCGCACAAGTGAACTGTATGCCCACTAAAATGCCAGCCTCCTGCAGAAACACCTGTGCCAGCACACACACACACACACACACACACACACACACACACACACACACACACACAGGTGAGTTTTACCAGATATCTGGGCATGCTTTAGCCATGAGACACACAAAATCAGCCAGCCTGAAATCATTTCTTGGAAGAAGTCTGAGCTACAGGAAATGGAGACGTGCTGCCTCAAAAGGTAGTTGGATTTCTGGCTGTTTTGTGGAACCAATCATTCTAACTTGCTGAGAACTAACCCATTTTGTAAGTTAATGAAGTCAGATGTTTGACTCTGAGAGTGACGAAGAAAACCTGAGGCTGTCCCCATATCTAGCAGTCAGGAAAAGCAGCCACCTCGAGTGAATGTGAGGTAAGACTAGGGGTGAAGCTTCTAATGGGACAGCTTGGGGCTGCACCTTGGGGGCCATTTCATTTTTTCATTGCACTGATTATGTAAGATTCTCCTCCATAAAGCAGTCCAAACCACCACGTATAGATGAAAGCATCACTACATAGACTTCTGTACTTGGAGCATGGTTTAAAGTGTCACTCAAAGATCCATGTGTTACAAGCTTACCCCTTAGGGTGGCAGTGCCTAGAGATGGTATGTTTAATAGGTAGAACCTAACAGGAGGTCTGTGGGTAAGTGGCCATGTTCCCAAAAGGGATTATGGGACCCCCCTTCCCCCAGCTTCCTGTTTGGCTGTCTGATCTTGCTCTCAAGAGCCCAACCATGAGGGTACGGTCCTCACCCAGAGCTGAGCTGGTGCTGCCATCATACCCTTGGCTCTCTCAAATGGGGAGCTACACAAACAACCTCATTCTTGGATCAATTTGATTCATGGTCTGAACCATGTGGCTCTGCTCCGGGCACTGTTTCCACCTTTGCAAGGAAATGTTCATTTTTTCCTGGTCCTTTAAACTAAGTGCTTTACCTAGGTATAGGTACCACATGCCTGTTATCCCCACACTCAAGAGGTTGGGACAGGAGTATTGTAAGTTCAAGGTCAGCATGGACTTCATACTGAGTTCAAGACCAGCCCAGGTTACACAATGAAAACAATTCTTTCTCAAATTTTAAAATAAAAAAAATTTAATTAAAAAGATGAGTCATTAGGGAAATTTCTGCCCATGCTGAAGCTTGAACTATTTCTTTCTTCTTTTGACCTTTTAGTCAAACGGGAAGAACAGAGCCTTCTCTAACCGTTTCCTTTTATCAGAATGAGCTTTCAAATCAAGAACCCTGGGACTGGAACTACTCTCTTTCTCCTTCCCCAATTATAGTGTTTCCTTTCAAGCCGCGTTCAACATTCCCTTGGCTTATTGTCTTTGCGCTCCAACTGTATCCCCGAGTCATCTCCTAAGGGAATGTTGAGACCGATGTACTCATATCTCTATTAGCTTTTAAGTCTCCCTCCACCAAAAACACTTCTAGTGCAATAACTCAATTATTTCGAGGGAGATTGGAAAAGGAACCGCCAGCAGCAAAGACAGTTATGTTTGTGAAGCACAGACAGAAGGACTGGCTTGGAAGTTTCGTGAGGAATGAGAACTCCCACGAGGGCAGTGGTTCTCAACCTTCCTAAGGCTGCGACCCTTCCATACAGCTCCTCCTGTTGCTCCTCGTGACGCGCCCCCAGCCATAAAATTATTTCTTCACAAACTGTAATTTTGTTACTGTTGTAAATCATAATGTGAATATCTGATATGCAGGGTATCTGATATGTACCCCCTGTGGGGGTCTCAACCCACAGGTTGAGAACCACTGCTCCAGGTGGTGTTAGAAACAGAAACTGATCTGAAAGGCTGGGAAAACTGCATTCACCACAGTAGTGGGTTACAAGCTGGAGGCCAAAAGTGAGGCTCAGGTCACTAGCAGCCTTTAACAACAGGGCTTAGCTATTTACATGCTAATTGCAACTCCAGAGGCCAATGCCTAACACAAAGGTAAGGCAAGACCTGTCCAAAACGGGAACCAGGCTGGTTGGTTGTGGTGGCAAATGCCAGTAGGATTTGCTTAAGGAGGCAGAGGCAGGAGGATCACGAGTTCGAGGCCAGCCTGAGCTACACATTGCCAGGCAGTGGTGACACATGCCTTTAATCCCAGAACTCACAGATGCAGGTGAATCTCTGTGAATTCCAGGCCAGCCTGGTCTGCAGAGCCAGTTCCAAGACAGTCAGGGCTGCTACACAGAGAAACCCTGTCTTGAAAATAAAAAATTAAAAAAAAAAAAGAGGCGGGGAGACCCAGCCTTTATTTTCCATAGAGTATGCAATCCTTGTGGTAGTTTTCAGGTTTTGATAAGACAATGATATATCCTCATTTAAAAAAAAAGTAATACATTTGTTTATTTATTTATTTGTGTGTGCACATGTAGAGGTCAGAAGACAACACCCAGAAGTGCGTTCTCTCCTTCCACACAGGAAGGGATCGAACTTACGTGGTCAGGCTTGCCAGCAAGCACCTTCACCCTCTGGACCATCTTGCCAGCCCCAGTAATGCTTAATGCTGTCATAAGAAAGAGGTTGTGATGGTGAACAGCTAGGGTAAAAACTAGAGAATCAAAAATGTGGACAACTAGAGAGTAAAAGCCCCATCTAGTGGGGATAGCGGGAACCATATGGGAACAGTGGTTTGTATAACCAGTTTTTTTGTTTGCATGTACACACACACACACACACACACACACACACACACACACACTTCTTGTTTGAGGACAGGGTCTCATTACATTGGTCAGACTGGCCTTCCTCTTGCCTCAGCTTCCCAAATGCTGGGAGTACAGGCATATACACCACATCTGGCTATAACCAGATTTGATTTTTATTGTCAAAAGAACTAGCTATTGATATCCATCCAACCTGCTGCTGTACATTGTTTCTTTTGGTTGTTTTCCTTCTTTCAACACTGAAGGAACCTGAGATGCAAGCTAGCACCAGCCACAGGCCAGTTTCTTCAAAAGTAGCACTTTTGAAACACTTGCTAGACACACTCAGAAACTGTGTCCAGCTCAGCTGAATATTTGCAAAAATAAACAGTAGCTAAAGGGTTTAGAATTTATTTAAAACATATGACCACTCTCCTAGTTTGATTTCTGTTGCTGTTCAGAATGGACAAGGTCCTAAGTTCAAAAATACTCTACAAAAGTAAATAAAATATAAAGTGTTAAAATACACCAGGAATTTCATTGTCTTAAAAAATAAGTGTTTTGGAATTCACAGGCCAGGCAGAAGAAGATACCCACAGGCCTACATGGCCCAGGCTGGCTGAAGACATCCACAGGCTTGCTGGGCAGGGTAGGAGCCATTTTGATGAGCACATCCATAGTGGAGAAATGAGAGAGAAAGAAGTAGAATGGTTCATGCGCTGTGGGAAGAGGCGGGACTAAAGGAATGAAGGCGGTGAGGGTGGGTGGCCCACTTGGGATATCCATGCCCAGGCTGCCTCCAACAGCCACGTCTAAGTCCATGGTTCTACCCCAACTGAGGTTTGTGTTGATGTCCATGGCCTATGTTGCCACCAAAGGCCACAGGAATGCCTGGTGTCTGGGCGGCATGTCCAAAGGTCATGCTGATGCTGGGGCCATGCCAAGCTGAGTAGCCGGGTTTGCCACCTGGGGCCATAATGACTTCTGGACCTGAGCACTGCCAACAGCCACGTCTAGGTCCATGGTCCTACAACAGCCAGGGTCTGTGTTGATGTCCATGGCTTCAGTTAGCACTGAGGGCTGAGCAGATGTCTGGGGTCTGGACAGCCACCTGAGTCCGTGTTGGTGTCCACCAAGAGCAGGCTAATCTGAGTTGCCTGTGCTGCCACCCAGGGCCATGGTGACGCTGCAGAGGGCCATGTCTGGGTCCATAGCACTACACCAGCCAGGACCTGAGTTGACGTCCATGACTCCTGTCACCACCAAAGGAAAACAGCCCAAAGAGAGAGCACAATGTCAAAAGAAAACACTGTCTGACTGAAATCTCCTTTAAAATACTTTTGGCATCAGAGATCACATAACACTAAGGCCAAAGATACCCACAGAGATGCTGGCAGGCAGCATTCACATACCTTGGAGCTATGGGATGGGAAACCAGGACAAGAGGAAAGTTCAGAAACCAGCAAGTAAGCAGAGTGAGATCAAGGACAGAGGGAAGGGCTGGAAATTAAGGAGACTATTGCATCGAGCAACATGTTGAGTGGGGACAAATCTTTCTCTGTGGCCCTGCATTAGCAGCCTAGATGTGGGGTCGATGTAACAACTGCCTTTAACCCTGGAGGCCTCAGACTCACATAAGAAAAGCAGCAAATGAATGGAATCAGTGCTTGCTGAGAATGGATTTGGACCACTGGGGCAATCTGCACATTTTGTACTTAAAGCATCTAAAATACTGACTGCTGTAGTCAGTCTACCAGAGAATGACACATTAACCATGTGGTTCTAATTTGAAAAGATTAGGTAGCTAAGTTTAGACTGTGAACCTTGGGGTAGCTCAGAGACACCTGCCTGGCAAAGCCAAGGGCCCAGACCCAAACCCTCATGACACACACACAAAAACAAAAGCAAAATGAAAATTAGATTGATTTTTAAGAGAATTTCATAAACTTACTGTCAAAGTTTGATCATCACTGAGAATCCTGTTAGTTTTACTAAAGTTTTATTATTATTAGCAATGCTTAAGGACTTGAAAAGGTTGCCTTACTCATTTAATGTTTTAAAGGGCTTTCAAAATGAAAGAGCATATATTTATAAGACACTCAAAAGATTTGACATAATTATATTCCCTCAGCTAAGTGGGATTCTTTAACATATAACAAAATAAGACATAAAATTTTAAAGGTTTAGGAAAAGCTAGGTTTGTTGGTTTGTAACTTTGAGTCACCATTTTTAAATCTCAATTAGTGCAGCTCTTGGGACAGAAGAATGGGGCTTCTGCGTTGGCTTGGTGGCCTCAAATAGGTCAGTCTATTCAAAAAAGGGGGTGCCCAGCAGTGTCCAGAAGCCTGTCCCGGGCCTACCCCTCTAGAATTCCAACACTGCTGGTCTGTTTGCCATCCATTTGACAGACTGCCGAGGAAGGCTGCCCTGCCTTGATAAGACTCTTGTTTGGCGCTTCTCCAGGGACTCTTTTAGTTGATGGCTTTTGATCACATCCTACTCACTTGTTTATTTTTAAGCCCTAACACTTCCTTCCCCAAACCCAGCTAGGACAATAGGACAAGCCATAAACAGGGAAAGTCTGCGACTGCAGAACATCCAACTCTTCTAAAGCCCAAGAAGGTCAAGAGAAGGGCCACGCCTTGACTCGGGCTTTTGATCTGCAGCCAAGTTCTTGTTTTGTCGTATCCATACAATGTCAAAATGTCTAGGTAGGACAAGCGATGTCATCCCTAAAACAGGCCCATGAAAGAAGCTGCATTGAGTGTTTAAACAAGACTCCAAAGACCTCACAGATGTAGCAACTAGATGCCTGCCTTTGGCCAAGTTGCTAGCTAAACCAGCTGCTCCAACTGGCACAATGTGTTGAAGAGGACATTTCCACTAGCTGTGGCATCTCCCACCTCTTTGGTGTCCTCAGATCTGTCCCTGAGGGTGTCCTTTCCTGACACCAGTCCCCTCACCCATGCTGCCATCTCACTGTGTTTGCTTTGGGCCAGTCTCAGAGAAAGCATGGATTAACTCTTCAGAGCAATTGTGCACCACCTGACTCCAGGCTGCAAGGTCAGCGCCCCCTAGCGTCAGAAAGTGACATTCTGCAGAGGCTTGAAGAAGATGCTCACTGCCCTGTGCAAGCTCCAGTGTCCTCAAAAACAAGTAACAAGTCGGACAGCACTCTTCAGGCTGAGGCAAGTGGATCTCTGTGAGTTCAAGTCCAGTTTGGTCTACCTAGAAATCTTCAGGATAGCCAGGGCTATATAGAGAGACCTGTCTCAAACAAACCAAAAGTAAGTAAATAAAAGTAATAATACCTATTTCATACAATAGCTTTGATGATGTTTATTAAGCACTTAGTGTGGAGTTTGGTACAACATAGGTACTCAATAGATGAAATCCTTTGATAGTTACTATTAGAAATTATTAAATTTGAAAGACTTTTGAGACCTATGTAAAATCTCCATCAAAACTGACAATGGAAGAAGCTGAAAATCACTAATAACATGTGGTTCTCTGGAGAGGAGAGGCCACTGAATCTTGGTTTTCCTATCAGGAAAGCAGAGGTCATGACGATATTGACTTGACAACTAAAATATCAGCTCCCTGACTTCTGCTTGCTCCTAATGCCCCCCCACCCCACCCCACATCTAGCTTGTGCTGGTTCAAGGTAGCAGCTCAAGGAGCACCTGTTGAATGGATGCATTGTTGCTATTAACATTATTCATTTTCCTTCTGGAACATTAATGAAAGAAAAATTCAGTTCCTAATGGAACCGATGGAATAATGGCACAGACACAATGCTATTTGAATCCTGGAGTATGTGAGAGATCTTTCTAGCAGAATGCAGTCTCAGAAGATGGGTAGAAATGTGGGCTGTGACAAGCACACAACACAGATGAATAAATAGTTGCTAGCAGAGGAATGGGTGGTTTTGTCCCCAACAGACAAAGTGGGAGTCCTCTCTTGAGATCTCTATTCAGGTTGAGCCAGGATTCTTGACTTTACAGAAGAAAAGACTTTCTGGATGAGTCAGTAAAATCCAGAAGTGGAGTTTATTAAGAAGAAATTGTTTTGTTTTGTTCAAGACAGACTCTCACTATATAGCTCTGACTGTAGCCTAGGCTGGCCTCTGATAGCCTAGTATGGGGATTAAAGGTATGAGCCACCACCACCACTTAAGAAGAGATTTTTAAAGTAAATGGGGAGATGACATGGTGCGTAAGAATACTTGCTATGCACATATGAGGACCTAAGTTCAAATCCCAGCTCCTGCAATAAGGAGTCAGGCATGGTGGCTCTTGCACCTGTAACTCCAGCATTGGAGAAGTTGAGATAGGAGAATCCCTGGGGCTTGCCCAGTTGCGCTCCAATGTCAGTAAGAGACCTTGTCTCAAGAGAGTAACATAAAAAACTGATATAGCAGAACACCTCTGCCTTCCTCCTATGGGCTCTATACACATATGCATGGTGCACATAGGAATACAAACACATGAACATATACACAGGAGACACACACACAAGAATTCTAGCATAGCTAACAAAATTTACTGTGAAGGTTGCCTATGTAGAGATTATTCCTTTTATATACAGATTTTTTTTTTGGTTTTTTGGAGACAGGGTTTCTCTGTATTGTTTTGGAGGCTGTCAGTCTAGCCTGGCCTCGAACTCACAGAGATCCACCTGCGTCTGCCTCCCGAGTGCTGGGATTAAAGGCGTGTGCCACCACCGCCCGGCTATATACAGATATTTTACGGGGGTGGGGGTGGTGGTGGCACATGCCTTTAACCCCAGCACTTGGAATGCTGAGGCAGGTGGATCTCCAAGGCCAGCCCAGTCTACAGAGCTAGTTCCAGGACAGTCAGGATTTCACACAGAAACCTTGTCTCATAACAAGCAAAAAGAATGATAAGATAGGGATGAACCACAGACTGGCTGGTCAGTGAGCTCTAGGAATCCCTGTCCCTGCTCCCCAGCATTGAGGTTACAGACTTGAATGACCTCACCCAGCTTTTTGCATGGACGCTAGGGATGTAACTTGCATCTTCATTCACACAAAAAGCAATTCCCCATTGAGGCATCATCTTCTAGCCCCTGGAATTGTGACTCTCAGTAGGTAAGAGTCTTTAGCAGACCCTAGAATGAAGGATTCTGTCCCACTGTCATGTCCTCTAAGTTTCCCTATCTTTCTATCCTGCCTCCGCTTCAGTGAAAACCTGAAGAGCAGAGACAGGTGTGATAGAGGGGACCTCCAACCTTTCCTACCATCTGCATCTCCTGTATGGAAGCAGAGGCATCAGACAGTCACAGAAGATGAAGTAACCACTGAGGTCAACCAGATAGCCCCATTTGTTTGAGTTAGCTCTCAAAGCAGCCTTCTGCTTACATTTTAGATGGAGTTTGCAATGACTGTCATCGTGAAAAATGTCATACAGCGGCAGTTCTCAACCTGTAGGTTATGGCCCCCAAAGGGTCCCATTTCGGCTATTTACCTCATGATTCATAACAATAGTGAAATTACAGTTATGAAGCAGCAAGGAAAATAATTTTATGACTGGGGGTCACCACAGCATGAGGAACTATACTAAAGGGCCGCAGCATCAGGAAGGTTGAGAACTACTGCTGTAGAGTGTCCTTGCACAAACAAAGACATCTATGACGTCACTAAGCAATATAATCTTTTGAGATCACTGTGTAAATGGAGTTCTAATTGGTCTAAATAATAAAGACCTGGAGTCAGATAGAAAGGAAAACACTGAGATCAGAGAAGAAGGAGCAAGCCAAAGTCACCTTTACCTCATTAGCTTCCCAGCAGAAAAGAGAGTGAGTTTCTGTTTCTTCCCACTTGTATCTTCTCTTCGCCTAGCCATCTCACTTCCTGTCTGTTTGTACAGACCTCCAGACCTCTATGGTTAGCTAGTGGCAAGTTCCATCTTCTGATCTTCAGACAAGCTTTATTTATACAAGCAAGATATCACCACATCACTGTCTTATATGAATCCAAGAGTTGAGTAATACATTATTATACAGCCCACAGTTGTGCTGTGTGTGTGCATATGGTATATGCATATGTACATGTACATGTATGTACATGCATGTAGAGGCCAGAGATCAATGTCAGGTGCCTTTCTCTATCCCATTTTACCTTAGTGACAGGAGATGTCTCTCACTGAACCTGAAGCTCACCAACTTGGCAAGCTTAGTTGGCCATCAAGCTACAAGGATCCTCCTATTGTTGTCTCCCTAGGGCACATGCTGGCATGTCTGGCTTTTCATGGAGCTCTTCAGATTTGAACTCAGATCCTAATGCTTGCATGGCAAACACTTTACTGACTGAGCCATCTCCCCAAGCCCACATTTGAAATCAGGATATTTCTCATCTAAATTTCCGACCACTGAAAACTCCAGATACCCCAACCCTGAAGTCAACAGTGGGGGTGTGCACCTTTAGAGTGGTGGGGTTGTGTGTCTACCCCACACCTGGCCAGTGCATTTCTTTGCCTACTGGACGTCATAAACCACAGCTCATCTCTCCACATCACCCTCAGGCTCACCAGCTGACCCAACACTGACTTAGGCTTCTTGATGAAAATGAACAAATCGATACTCCAGCATGTGCACCAGCTCCTTATGGGTTTGGCCATTGTGAGTCAGATTCTTGGTTCATTTCACCTTTGAATACACAAAACAAATTCAAATGTGTGGGCTTTGCTGAGGTCACCTGACTGCCCAGCATGGCCCTACCTCAGCCAGCACAGGCTAGTCTCTGAGTGGCACTTTTGAACTTACCAATTATCTTCCCAGATTCCTCAAAACTCTAGGAATGAACTGCCAACTGTTTTCTGAAGGTCGGCGAGGGCAGCCCAGCTGAGTGCAAATGAGGCAATGACCTAGTTAATCTATGAACCTGTCGCAGAGGCTTGCAAAAGTTGTTTATTTGCTATTGTCCTTGGGAACTCAGCCTTGAGTGTCTAATTGTCTTGCATGTAACAAAGGCCAATGGGAAATGACTATTGACAGACTGGCAGCCTGGGTCCCCTTGCCATCTCTTTGCGGCTTCCCTCATTTAGCTTTTTCCATCTCAGAAAAACCCATGACCTTGGAGGTGCCTATGCTGCCTTTCTTGGCCCTGTGGTAGGATGAAGGTGTCTTTTCTGACCCCATGGGTGCAGTGACCAATGGAAAGTCCCAGATGCCCTCTCAGCTGGCAGCCCAGACGCCACTCTTCATCTCAACAGGGAAAGGGCTTGGCGAGCCATGCCTGCTTCTTCTCTCCTCTCACATCAGAGCAAAGCAAGCAATGATTGAAATGGGAAGAGAAACCATCTGCTCCTAACACAATCAGAAGGGAAGCCATTTGTGGCAGCCTAGAATGAACTATCAGCATGAACTTGACATTGCCTTCCCACCTGGAGTGATAGATGCCTGCCGACCCATCTGCACTTCTCAGTCGGTTCTCAAGACTACATCTACATTCATAAGTCACAGTAGTCAAATCAGCTGTGATCAGACCCCAGGCTAACCAGTTTAAGGGTGGACTGAACCTGTGGCGTCACCACTATGGCCCCAACCAAGCCAGGAACCAGTGTGGCTATCCATGCATCTGTTTGGATGAAATGCCCTGTCACTTCTGTTTTCTTCTACGATAGGAAAATGAATACTTAAAACTATGTACCTTTGGAGAAAACATAGAAAATAGGCTTGTGTTGTAGACTACATGTAGAAGGCAGTGATGTCTGCCGTGTCTATTGCTACATAATGGGTTCTTCTGGAAATGTAAAGACTGATTATCCACCCAAAGTATGGTCTGTAAGTCCGTGTCTTAGTTACTCTTGCATTGCTGTTATAAGACACTATGATAAAGGCAACTTATACAAGAAAGTGTATATTTGGGGCTTAAAGTTTCCAAGGGTGAGTCTATGACCATCATGGTGGGATCATGGTAGCAGGCAGACAGGCATGGTGCTGGAGCGTTAGCTGAGATCTCACATCTTGATCTGTAAGTACATGGCAGAGAGAGAGCTAACCTGGAGTGGTGTGGGCTTGTGAAACCTCAAGTCCTGCCTCTAGTGATACAGCTCCTCCAATGATACCACACCTCCTAATCCTTCCCAAACAGTTCTACCCAGTAGGGACCAAATATCCCACATATGAGCCTGTGGAAGCCATCTGCATCCAAACCAACACAGTCTGCTCACCATCCATCTTGAGAAATCCCAGAACACACATGGCTTGAAGCAAGAAGCAGCCAGAGGGACCCCTCCCACCTTTAAGATGGTTAACATTTTCAGGGCTCACTTCCTGTCACCATTCCTTAGCAATGTTTTAAACATAGCCGTTGCCTTGTTGGCTCAAGAGCCTTGGAATCAAGAATATACTAAGCCAAGGGACGTGGAACTAAAGCCCTTTTTTTCCTAAGCCCTTCTGACTTTGAAACTTACAGAGAAGTTCAACGTCCATTTGCCTGCAAGGTGGGCGTTTAAATGCTTTTGACTTCTGAACATTAGATCTTCCTTCAACATCTTTTCAAGTAGCTCAGAAAACTCTGAAGAGAGACAGTACAACTTGCCTCTTATCTAAAGGTCAACCCAAAGGTTCTTCCCTTTCTACACTTTGAATTTCAGAAAGCTTTTTCTTTCCAGGCCAGTGCGGTGGCCCACACCTATAATTCCATCACTGGGGAGGCTGGAGCAGGAAGAGTGCAAGGGGGGGCTAGCTTGACTTCTATATTGAGATTCTATCGTGAAAACAACAAAAATAGTGTCTGAGCAAAGTACCAAAAGTGGGAAGGAGGCCGGGGTAAACCTCAGTGTTGGGCAGCTTGCCTAGAACGTGTGATGCCCTCTGTTCCATTCCCAGCATTGCCCAGAGGGAAGCCAGAGGGGAGGGGAGGGGAGGTGAGGGGAGGGACACAGCAGCTTGATTCCAACAGGGAGCATTTTTTAAAGCTAGGAAGAGCTGCTTCGGTAACAAAAGAGCGTGCTCAACCCTAGGCATGTGATAGATGCTGAAAATAACAGAAGCAAGTGGATTATTGAAACCATAAGCAAGCTAACATATAAATGAATTAGTAAATTGATGGAACTCCCGATTCCAGGCAGAGAGGCGAGTGCACACTCTGAAGGGTTTCATCTTTGGTCTCCTACTCCTGGACTCCTGCAAGGAGGAGCAACTTCAGACCTTTTCCATCCCACGGCTGTCACTCCGCCATTCTCTCCCTCACAGGGATGCTCGCATCTGAACCCCCACAGGTCCATTGAGTGGCTTCAGCTCCTGGCCTGGCCTCTGAATGGTAATGTGGACTCGGGGCTGACCAACATGAGCACTTCCTGCCTGCCACCATCTCAGCCTTCCCCACTTTTACCCATCATCTGTGAGTACCTCAGTATAGATTGACAGCAAGGCGCATGTCCTCTTCGCCTGCGTTCCTAAATTTAGAGGGGGGGCTGGGGATATAGCTCAGAAGAAGAGCACTTGCCTAGCTCTACTTAGCATAGGCCCTAAGTCCAATTCCCAGCACTGCAGGGGGCACTTAAAGTGTCTCTTTCTCTCCCCCAGAATCAGGCTTCGTGGTGAGAGATCACCGAACTACATACAGGTCAGCCATTCAGCTGTCCTCTGCTCTCAGCCAGCCAGCTGATGATCAAGATCTGGACAAACACATTGGCTACATGATGAGACTTTGTCTCAAATAAATAAATAAACAAATAAATAATAACTGTTTTCTGAGTGGGCATACAACACAGTGGTTGAAGTGCTTACCACAGAAGCATGAGGACCAGAGTTCCGACTTCCAAAACTCACATGAATGCAGAGTAGGCATGTGGCCCACATGTAATGCTAACCTCAGAAATCAGCAATAAGAAATACCCAGAGGAAGCAAAACTAGATATCAGAAAGCTGTGGGTTTGATCGAGAGACCCGGCCACAGTGTGTGTGTGGGGGGCGCGGGTGGCAATGAAGGATAATTCTGGACATTGACCTCAGACCTCCATAAACACATATATCATACATACGCGTGCATTCACACCCACGCAAGGAAAAACACCTGCATACACCTGCACATACTACACACACTCATAAACACCAATAAGTAAAAGGAAGGAAGGAAGGAGGGAGGGAGGGAGGGAGGGAGGGAGGGAGGGAGGGAGGGAGGGAGGGAGGGAGGGAGGAAGGGAGGGAGGGAGGGAGGGAAAAGAAAACTAAAGTCAGATTTCCTCCCAATTAGGATCATAACAAAACCACTTGGAAAGTCAAAATCTCAAACTATGGGGCTTTGCAGTGCCCTTTTGCACTTGCTCTAATATCTGCCCTGTGAGTAGTAACTGGTGCCAATGTCAGTAGATGGAATGAAGAACAGCTCCATAATCGATGTCAAAGTAATGCCCCACTGTATTTGCTTGCTAAAGCGTTTCTGAAAACTCAAAAGTCTGTCTCCCTTGCCCCAAGGTATTTTACTGGGCCTTGGATGTTTGCTCCTGCTGCCAGTAAAATGGCCCTAGTCAAACACCGTGCTTCTTCTGCCCCCATGTCGCATCCCCCTCTGGGGCCCCAAAGCTCCCACACGCTCCCTTTCTTTTATTTTGGAGGGCACATTTCCACAGTGCGTGTGTGAAAGTCAGAGGACATCTTGCAGCAGTCAGTTCTCTTTCCACCATGTTGATCCTGGGGCATCAAACTCAGGTCCTCAGGCTTGTTAGTAAGTACCTTTACCCAGGAGCTAGCTCACTGGCCCAACATCTATCTCCTGTGCTCTCTGGGGTTCTGGCCTCACATGAGTCATCTTTCCTCCTTTGCTTGAGAACTGTTGCTCCCCAAGTGGCCTCTCTCTCATGCCTCTTGTCCTTGATCCCTTAAAACCTGCGCAGGGTGAGCCCACAGGATCACCTTCCAGACAGCTGACTGTGGGTAAAGACTGCGCTCAAACCCCTCCGACTGACTGCTCCCCCTTCCCTGAGAGGAAAATGATCAGGGCACTTGGGATGTGAACCGGAAGAAATTCAAACATGGTCTGTCTGGCTGCAAGGACACTATGAGGTCTCTGTTTTTCCTTAGGGAAATAAGAAGCTAGTGTCTTCGACCGTCTCACACCCTTGGGACTTAGTTCAAAGACAGGATCCCGGAGAGAAATAGGTGGGGTGTCTAATGTTGGCTACAGACATTGAGATGGCTCCCCTATGTAAGAGTCTTTGCATTTGTTTGTTTCTCTGTAATTAAAAATTACTAATGGATGGAAAATTTGCTTGTAAATGACAAAACAGTATGAGCTAGGGCAGGGCATAAGATCTCTTGGGTAACTTGGGACAGAGTTGGCCCAATGGAAGGCTTTTCCTCACATTGGCCAGGGACCAAAAAAGAAAAAAGTAAATGATTGCACATAAATTACTTATAATTAATCCAAAAATGAGTCTCTGTGTTAATTCATCTGGCAGACTCCAGGTCAAGGGCATATTACTGGGAAGTCCTCGCAATCCTTAGAGTTATGTAACTGTATTAGAACTTCAATTTGTCTCCGATGGCCATGGCATCAGGAGAATTTCACATGATGTTGACGGCCTCAGAAAGGCCTCTTTTGTGCAGCTGTGTGGTCCCAAGTCCCCTGACACACAATGCAAGAACTGCATAGGCTTCTGTTCTGCAGCTCAGGGCCTTGCATTCACCTCCCATCCCGGGGTTAGGAGGTCTCCGCTCTCCCTAAGACATTTGGCTGGAATCAAATGCTACTCCACAAAATTTACCAAAGAAGGTAAATGTCACGTTAGATCAAAGATGCATTCGTTAGATATTGCTGCTTTTCTTTTTCCTTGGGGGATGGGTTGGTGTGGGTGTGTGGGTGTGTGGGCGCGCGCGTGTGTGTGCGTGCGTGCGTGCAGAGGCCAGAAGTTGACATTGAGTCTCTTCTCTATCAATAACCCTTAGCTTTATTTTTCAGGTCTCCCACTCACCCTGGAGCTCACTGATTGGCTAGATCGTGCAAGCCCCAAGGATGGATCCCTTTGATTCTATCCCCACCCTCACCCCAACTGGGGTTCCAGACGCACACCTCTGTACCATGTTTTATGTAAATCCTGGGGATCCTAACTCGGGCCCTCCTGCTTGGTACAACGTGCACTTTACATCTGAGCCATCCCCCCAATCTTTTGTTTCCTTTCCTTTAAGTGAGAGTCTCAAGTGAGCAACTCTGCTGTTTGATGGACAGCTATCTGACCCCTCCCCATCCCCAGTCTCCAGTTCCACAGCAGCTGCTTGCTTGGGAATAAAAGCTACAGTGGAGACCTGGACTGACTGAGAATGGGTTCTTCTTTCCAGCAATCCTGAGTCCGACAGAGGCAACATCGTTACCACTCCCAAGGTTTCAACAGAGAAGGTGGCAACTGCAACTTCTGCTGTCCCTGTGTCCCCAAAACTACAGATCTGTCACTCAACCAGCTGTTAGTAAGCTGAAGGGCTGTCATGGTGATGGCTGGGGTTGCTCCAAATACCTCATGGTTGGTTACTCAGGGAACTTGGTTCCGACCCTGACTTCAGTTCTAGGGGCTCTTACTATAACAGCTGCCACACCGGGGACTCTGCTTCAGCCAGGGTCCTCTAGACACTCTGCCACCAACCTGCCAGACTCGGCCCACAGCCCTCAAGATGTTTTCCGTCAGATCAGAGAGAAGCCCTGGCAGCTGAAGTAGGCAGGCCTGGTGGGCCTGTGCAAGCCGGCATGACCAAATAGAAAGCACGTGGTTAGCAGAGCTGAGGCTGTGCACACTCAGGGCTGCCTGTATGAGCTTCCCTGCTCTCATTCTCACCGGGTCAGTCAGAGATGTCCCTCCTGTGCCCTGCTGTCCCTGCCTCACGCTGTGACCTAGACATGGCTGCAGCTTCGTCCGGGTGGCAGTGCTGCTTTAGTTGGGGTACAGTGGCCTCAGACCGCACACGGGGCTGCCAGAACTAGTAGCAAGACCACAGCAGAAGAGGAGTTCCAGGGAGCTGGGAAATGACTCGGCAGGCCAAAGCACTTGATGCTCAAGCCTGACAACCCAAGTTCAGTTCCCCAGAACCCACCCTAGAAGACAGAACAGACTCCATGCCAAAAGATGCCCTCTGCTCCGCACACACACCGTGGTCCACTGGGTGTTGGGCTGCTGGCACCTGACGCCCCAAGCTGTCTCACTAAGAGCTAAGAATGGCTAGCACTCAAAGCTCAGAATTACAGAAGAGAGCTGCCCTTTGCAGCCAGAGAGCCCTGCCAGTCAGCCCTTCACTCAAGTTCCCTAACACAGCCCGTCCGTGGCCTGTAAATGCACACGCTTGTCACAATGCCTCTCACTGGTGGTAATAATGATAGCGGTCAGCTTGCATCACTGCCTGTTCCTGGCTTTCCACATAATGATTCCACAGTGTGTATGAATAGATTTCAGGACTAAATGGTCAGAACGGCTCAGCCATAATGTTGGTTTAATAGAGACCTCAATCGTCTTCACGTCCTGTGAGACTGAAGGAGTTTTCAGAAACAAAGGGATACAGTTGTGCTCTGTGACTTTATTATTAGGTCTGGAGCACCATTCTGTGGGGGGGGGGATATTTACCAAGGCACAAAATACTGGACTAAACCAGACTAAACCGGCTGTCTGAGCAACCTAGCTATTGAGTCAACCTAACTCTGTCCAAGGGCCCCAGCAGCAGCTGCCGTGCCATGGGACAAGACGACCTGAACCAGTCTCCAGCCGCCTGGAGAGCCCTGATGCGGGCGCTGCTGCTTCCCCTCCCCAGGGCTGGTGGGGAGTACATAGGCGTCACCTTCCTAGAATAAGCTGAGCTTGCTACACCGAGCATGTCTCCTAGGGTCTGTGTCATTGACCCCGGTGCCTGCTCATTCCCTCCCTCAAGGGGCAGCACAATGGGACAAGAGCAACACCATTCTGCAGCTTCCTCAGTCCAGGTGAGAGGACACACACAGAACTCAACAGCAGAAACCACCCCTGTGACTCAGTGACGTCTACTCTGAAGCAGGGCACTGGCACAGTGACGAATACACTCTCCGGGGCATTTGCACAGTGACGTCTACACTCTGAAGCAGGGCATTTGCACAGTGACGTCTACACTCTCTGGGGCATTTGTCCAGTGATGTCTACACTCTCCAGGGCATTTGCACAGTGACGTCTACACTCTCCAGGGCATTGGCACAGTGACGTCTACACTCTCCGGGGCATTTGTACACTGACGTTAACACTCTGAAGCAGGGCATTTGCACAGTGATGTCTACACCCTGAAGCAGGGCACTTTCCTCTTTAAAAGAGCTACCCACTTAGAATCTTACTCCTCTGATTAAACACATCGGCACCACTCTCCTAGCAACCTGGTCTCCCAGCCAGTGTGAAACTAGAACTAGTAGGTCGTTGGAGGTTAAGCTCCTGTCATATACAACGAATCTCAGGTAACAGGAAAGGACGCAGAAAACCCTGCACGTCATCAACACAAAGGCAAAGACACGGAAGTCTCAGCAACCATTCAGGGATTGACAGTTACATAGAAACAGAACTGTAGAAATGGCCTTGACATTTTGTTTTGTTTTGTTTTAAGAAAGATGTATTTATTTCTATTTTAGGTATATGAGTATTTTTCTACACACGTGTGCCACGCACATATCTAGTGCCCAAGGAGGCCTCAAGATGCTGGGAACTGGAGTTACAGAAGTTGTGAGCCTCCACGTGGGTGCTGGGAACCAGGATCCTCTGGAAGAGCAGCCAGTGCCCTCACCAGCTGAGCCACCCCTACGGTCCCAGGCTTAAAATGCTGAAGATATTATGGTCAAGATACTCCATTTAAAAAGCAAGTATATCATACATAAAATTGTATAGGAGCTGGGGCATGGCTCAGTGGGAGAGTATTTGTTTTACATGCACAAGGCTTTGAGTTCTATTCCCAGTATGGGTGTGTGTGTGTGTGTGTGTGTGTGTGTGTGTGTGTGTGTGTGTGTGTGTGTGTGTGTGTAAGAAAATATAGGGGCTGTAAATGTGGTTCAGTGGTTAAGAACACTTGCTGCTCTTGCAGAATAATTTGGCTCCCAGCGCCCATGTGGGGCGGTTCCCAACTCTTCTGGCCCTGAAGGCACCTGTACTCACTTGCACGTACACAGACACATACACAATTTAAAATAAAATAGATCTTTAAAAAGAAGATACAATCTTTAAAATATAATAAAGCACCGGGCGGTGGTGGTGCACACCTGTAATCCCAGCACTAGGGAGGCAGAGGCAGGCGGATCTCTGTGAGTTCGAGACCAGCCTGGTCTACAGAGTGAGTTCCAGGACAGCCTCCAAAACAATACAGAGAAACCCTGTCTCGAAAAGTCAAAAATAAAATATAATAAAGCTACTTACACATAGATGAAACTTTGCCTCCCAGACAGGTATACAAGGAGGTAAAAAGTATTAACACTTACAGAAGAATTTTTTTTGTCATCTATGAATTAAATGTTCACACAGTCCATTCCCTGTGGTTCCACATTAGCAAACAGGAACCAGTACAGGAAAAGGCTGAAGAGCACAGGACTATCTGTAGGCATCTGTGACTCAAGGAGTAGAATTCTAGAGTTTCCCCTTTAAACAAAGAGTTTGGGCCCAGTGATGGTGGTATACACCTTCAATCCCAGCACTCAGGAGGCAGAGGCAAGCAGATCTCTGTGAGTTCGAGGCCAGCCTGTTCTACTCTGTCTTCATGAAAAAAAAAATACCTACGATGTGCCTAATGTTGTATTAGCTGGTGTGAGGAAACAAAAACAAATCAGACATGTCCTCGAGACCCTGGTCCTGGTGAGTGACCTCTAGATTATGAAATAATGAGAGCCACACAGCATGGCACTATTGTAAAGTAAGAGAACAGTTTACCCACGGAAGGAATTTGGGAAGTCTGAAAGGTGTGTCTCTGGAGACGTGTCCTATCGGGGTGAAAGCTGATGCACTGCCCTCATTTCCAGTCTGTGGCCCCCCCATAAACATCAGTCCCACAGGCTGGGAAGCCCAGCAGACCCAATTGTCTGGTAAAAAGGCTGTTCCACATGGGTGACACTTTCTGTGTGTCCTTACACAGTAGCGGGGACAAAGGGCTCCCTCAAGGACAGTAACTCCATTTCATGACTGTGGAATCCTTGTGATCTCATGACCTCCCCAAAGATCCACAGGACTACCACACTGGAAATTAGGTTTCAACATATAAATTTGGGGGAAATGCAGATATTTAAAACAAGCACCCCTGAGGTTTGAACCAATGAAGATCAGGGAATTAAAATCATGCATGTAAAACTGGGCCCTAGATGGGGGGGAACCTAGGGGTAAACCAGTCACCTTTCTCTCATCTGAGTCCTGTGGACAACTCAGGAAGGGCGTTGCTATAAACAGTGGCTGTAGAGAACGGGACTCTCAGCCAGCAGCAAGTGGGACTGTGGCCTGTGGCCTGTGGCCTGTGGACTGCCTACCACAGATGGAGCCCAAGAAGACATTTTAATATGAGAGCGTCAGTTGCTGGAAACGCAGAGGCTTCTTGCTAAGAGCCATGCTTCAAGTTTTGGCCCTCTTCTCTCAGATTTCCTAGGAGATTTTTTTTACATTTTTTTTAAAGATTTGTTTATATATTTAATGTATATGAGTCCCTATATACGTATAGTACTTTATGCCAGCAGAGAACATCAGAACCCACTACAGATGGTTGTGAGCCACCATGTGGTTGCTGGGAATTGAGCTCAGGACCTCTGGAAGAGCAGCCAGTGCTCTTAATCTCTGAGCCATCACTCCAGCCCTGAGATTTTTACATTTTATTATCTGGCTTTCCTTATTTTTCTGAGGCAGTCTCATGTAGCCTAGGCTGGTCTCAAGCTCTGTGTGTAGGCAAGGATGACATTGAACTTCTGATCCTCCTGCCTCTACCTCTCAAGTGCTGGGATTACAAGCATGTGGCACCATGCCTATTTCTTGTGTAACTGAGAATCAAACCCAGTACTTTGTGCATGCTAGGCAAGGGCTCTATCCAATGAGCTACGTGGGAGCTAAATAGGAGGCCATAGCTTTCTACAGCCTCTCAAATGCCTCTTCACACTTGTACCCACACCTCCCAGTGGTCCCAGTGCCTGGAAGACCTCCCTCCCTCATTTATACAGCCTGATTGACCCCTGTGAACACTGGGATGCTAAGGGAACAACCCAGGAGCCAGCTATCCAGGACAGCCTCACAGGCACCCCAGGGCACACCAGTAGGATGGTAGGTAGTTCAGTAACTCATCCTGGGAATGCCTCC